AAATCAGGGACCAGAACCTCGGAGGGCTTACCACTCAGGACCACCCAGTCCAGAAGCCCCTGAGCCGGGCTGGCCTCCAGCCTGCCACCTGCCCGGTCCTGCCCTTCCCTCGGCTGCACCACGGTCCAGGCTCCCGGGGTTGCCTCATTGCCGAAGAGCACCAGCCCTGGTCGCTGTCTTCCAGCCTTTTCCCGTTCTGTGGAGGAAAGATGCTAGCTCACAGAGAAAGAATTTTTATTTTTAACCTGCCCCTCCCTTCTCTAGACTCCAGTCAGTCCCGGGTGCAGTTAGATCTGAACAGCCAGGCCCCACCAGCTCTCACTTTGGCCTGAGCTCTTTCTCCAGATGGAGGGTCTTGGGCTGGGGTCAGTCAGGCAGAGCTGCTCCAGCCCCCACGGGAAGACACGGCTGGGGGCTGAGCTGGGACTGGCTGGCAGAGCTGAGCCTGTATCCCCTTCCCTCTGTCCGAGCTCTAGACCCTGGGGGATGGAACAGGAAAGTGAAGAGATGAGGACGTCCAGCCCTGAGCGAGGGACCAGCTCAGTGTCCTAAAACCGAGGTCCCGACCAGCATTCCCTGGGCCTCCCCTTGCGCTTGGGAACAGATGCCAGTGGGTTCTGCCCTGAAACACACAGCACATTGCTTGAAATCAGGCTGCTGGGGCAGGGCCAGCCTCTGCCTTTTCCTCCACGTCTCAGCCAAAGCTGCTCGAAACCCTGTCTTCCCCCAGCAGGAAAAGCATATGCTCTTTCCATATAGAGGAGAAATTGTTCCACGAGTGAGTAAGCCTCTTGGCCACGGAGCTGGCCCAGCCCGCAGCCCGCCGGCCGGAAGCGGGCAGCGCTCGCTACCGCTCCTGGAGCCCGACTGGGCTGGCTTCTCATCCTCGGAGACAGTGGGCCTTCGGATGGATGGGGCCGGGCAGTGGGCAGCTGGGTGGGCAGGGCCTGACGACGCTGAGCAGGTCGGGGCAGAGAATTCTTCCCCTGAATGAAGTCCTTTTCTCCCTTCGAGCTGGCTAGGCCGGGCCAGGGGAGGAGGAGGGAGGGAGGGAGGGAGGGTGGGAGGGCTCAGGGGGTTGTGGTGGCAGGCGACCTTTCCAGTCCCCTCACTCCGGCAGCAAACAGGTCTGAGTCAGGGGTGACTCAGGTGTGCTCATCGAGGCAGGGCCATTTTTAGACTGTCACTCCCACCCACCCCCAAATTCTCCTGGAGGCCTCTGGGGTTTGGTGGCAGGAGGTGATCCCGTCCCATCCCATCCCTGGGGCCTTAGTTTATTCCCCCAGAGCCACAGGAAGGTACAGGTCTTTCCAAAGCCGGTCCTGGGCTGGAGGATGCTGCTCATTTCCTTGGCTCCACTGAGTCCTGCTTCTCTTCCCACATTTTCCCCTTTTGTTAAGAATCCACTGAGAATGGGGCTTGGGGGCAGTGGGCAGAGAAGGGACAAGGTGGCTAGGGCATTGGGGTGAGTCGTGAGGCAAAGGGGAAATGGGGGGGGTGCTCCACATAAGAGGAAAACGTTGAAGAAATTGGGGACATTTAGCCTGGAAAGTCGAAGACTCAGGGTAGAGATGGGAGTCACGAAAATGATCTGAAGATGGGTGACCGGTCACCATATAGAGGTGGGATTCAATTTATCCTGGGCAGGAGCTCCAGTAGGGCCAGCCCTGTGTGTACAAATCAGGGACCCCAATCCTCCGAGCAGTGCTTTCCAGACAGTGAATTCTGTCACTGGACGTATCCAGGCCTAGGGTGGATGGCCCCCAGCTGAAAGAGGTCAGGGGTCAGGCAGGAGGTGGACTAGAGCTTAGGTCTCCAACTGGTGGCCCATGGGCCAGACACAGCCCTGAAGATGTTCCCACTGGCCAGCATTTCTGCACGGCCACAGTCAGCTGGGGCTGAGCGGCGACTGCCTGTTCTGGCTGGGCATGCACCCCAGTTCCGCATGGCGCATCAGGCCTGGGCCGCTCATTGCTGTCCTGGCCTGGCCCCTGGGGCATCACGTCTCTGAACCTTGAAGCAGAGGCCCAGGCCACATTCCCCCTTCTCCCTCTTCGGGTTCCCCCGGCAGGTTCCCCTCGGTCGGGAGGTGGAGGTGGCAGCACCCTCCCATGCACTCAGGTGAGACCACAGCAGCAGTGGGTCGGAGGGAGGATGGGTAGGATTCGGGAAGGATTGGAAACAGACCTGTGGAAGCCAGGTGGGGCAGCTAAAGGGCTTGGGAAGGAGAGGCCAGAAGGTGAGGCCAGCTCTGCCTTCTCCCTCTGAGCCTGGGCTGGACCCTGACTTGCACTTCTCAGAACTGAGGGCGGAAGACCAGGAGGGAGCAGCCTCCATGGGGAACGAGATTCCACCTGACGCCTGAAGGCTGCGGCAGATTTCAGAGCGGTTTCGCATCCCCTGGTCCCATTTGTTTCCACAGTAGCTGTGGGAGTTGGGACTAATGTTCCCATTGTACAGATGAGGAGACTGAGGCAGAAGTTGCCCAGGGATGAGTCAAGCCACCAGGTGACAGTGGGTCCCCTTTCTGAGTTGCTGCTCCAGGCCCGTGGGAGTGGGCCTGCTGGGGATGACGGGACAGTCACAAAGGAACCACTTAACAAACATCGTCTCCCTTCCTCCATCCTTTAGAACCCAACATTTCAGGCCTCCGCTCTGATTGCATTGGGCCCGGGGTGGGTCAGGAGTCCAGACGGGCAGCCCAGAGGCAGCCCTTTATTTTTATTATGTCCACGGTCACTGCCACCCCCCAGCCTGGTGCTGGGCACCCTGCTAGGAGACCTCAGTGCTCTCCTCAGCCCATTTGGTGGACGGGGACCCTGAGCCTCACAGAGGAGACTCTCCGGCCAGCTGCCCGACCCTGGAGCTGGTGCTCTCCCTAGCGCTCCGTGGCTGTGTTCTGTACGCGACTGTGTTTCTCTCCACTGGAAACCCGGCCATGCGGAGCCGGGGAGCCCGTGAGTGCAGCCCTCACGCGGCCCCTGGGGTCCTGACCGGCACATGGCCCCCGCCTGGGAGGGGTGGGCGCCTCCCCAGCTTTTCTCTCCTGGGGACATCCAAGCACGGCAGCCAGGAGCATGAAGACGCATAAGAGGGTTCCTTTGGGAACACTTTCCCTTTGGGAATCCATTTGTCTCTCCTTCCAGGGAAGCTGGAAGCCATGGAAGGAAGCTTGGGCCGGGAGTCGGAGAGCCCAGGGTCACCTTCCAGGCCAGGCTGCCTCCTGTCCCGGGCCCTCTCTGAGCCTCAGCTCAGCGGCTGGGTGAGGGCAGCCTTGAGGGCCCCCAAGCAGCCCTCTAGCCATTTCTGGAGAGGCAGCCCCTTGCACCTCATGCCCTGGCGCCCCTCAAGCAGGCTCAGCCTGCAAGGCGGCCTGGCCAACAGCGGCCCAGGGGCACCACCTGGTGGCCAGTCACGGCCGCACAAGGCCATCGTACCCACTGCTTTGACGGTCCATCCAAATCCTCACCACAGAGGGCCTGATCACTGCCCTGAAACTCGGGGTGTTCTCTTCCCCACCTCGCAGACATGGGAGGGAGCCCGCCAGGTTCCCAGAGGTAGGGGTGCAGACAGGAGGCACCGCCACTGTGAAGTGGTCTGAGTGAAAAGCACTGGAATTTGGGGGCTGTCGGTCCTGGATTTGAATCCTTGGGTACTTAACTTTATGGTAAGTCCCTCATCTATGCAGTGGGCCATTTACGACACATCTTGCAGGGCTGTGGGCCTCTCTCTGCATGAGCAGGCAGCCAAGGGGATGGCAGGGGATGAGGCTGGACCAGCAACGGGCGTCCACCCCGGGGGCACTCAGCCCTTAGCCTCTCAACTGGGGCTGCTTGTTACATTCACCTGATGCTTAGGCCGCGCTTCTCGAAGAATGGACCCGGGACCAGCGGCAGCAGCATCAGCAGTGACCTTGTTAGGAACGCAGATTCTTGGGCTCCACCCCTGTTCTGCTGAATCAGAAACTCGGGGGTGGGGCCCAGGGCCCTCTAGGTAATACCCATGGGGTCAAAGGTGAGAAAGCTGTCCTTAGGTCCTGCTGGGGTTGCTTACAAACGCCTCAGGTATCCTCGGCATCAGAATCACCCATGGGGGTCAAAAAAACAGCAGGTGCCCACCCTGCTCTCCCAGCCCCTGCCCCACAATTCTGGTTTAGTGGGGCTGAAGTGGGACCCGGGCTCAGATTCAAATAACAACCCTGCAGCGGATACTACTGAGCAGTCGGTGCTCTGGTTTGGACCCCTCTCCCCACACACTATGCACGCCCTTCCTTCAGAGGGCGGGGCCCGCAGCAGGATGCACTGCTCCCCCTGGGGTCCCCTAGATGGGCAGGTGGTGCAGAGAATAGTCACCAGTTATTGACATCTGGTGGGTGCTTAAGCTGTGACAGGCACGGTGCTAGGGACTTTGTATGCAACAACTCACAAGAACCCTATGAACGGTTAGAATTCCCCATTTTACAGATGGAGAAACTGAGGCACAGAGAGGTTAAGTAACTCGTGTTAGGTCACACAGCTGCTGAATGGCAGAACCAGGATTCCAACCTAGTTCCCTCTGACTCCAGAGTCCACGACTTTTACTTCCTCATTTTACAAATAAAAGGAGGGATGACTTGCTGAGGGTCACCAGGGGTGGCACCCATCACACCTCCTGTACCTTTGCTTCGAAGTTCACCAGTGCCATGACACCAATTTCAAGATGGGATGAATGGGACCGGGACCTCTGAGCTGGGTGCCACCCCCAGGAAGTAATGCCACCCCTCTGGGCATAAATGCAACTGGAAAAGGGAGGCAGAAGCCGGGGTTGTTAATTAAGTCACATGCCGCCTGGGTTCCTAGAGCTTCTTCATGGATGCACAGGATTAGAGGTATTAAGGACATTGACACTTGCCCCCACCCCAGCTCAAGTCTTCACGCCCTTCTCAGCATCACACAGACTGGGTCCTGTCCCCCGTTACCAGGCTCAGAGAGAAGAATGGAAAAGAGGAGATCTGACGATGGAGTAAACAAAATATAGTAATTTTATTGCTAAAGATGCATTTTCCAAAAGCAAGCGAGTTCCTGTCCCGAAGAGACCCAGGCCTCCAGTCCCTGGGGAAAGGACCGAACGGAGCTTCGGTCCCACACCGCCTGGCAAGCAGCCCTCAGTCCTCTCGAAGTTGCCGGGAGATTTTGTAGAGCTCCATGGTTGCTCTGGCGTCTTCCACCGAGCTGTGTCCTGACCTGCTGTTCTGCAGACACAGGTAGAGTGGGGACTTGGGGCGGGGCTGAATCCAGATGCTCTGGGTGACCTGGGCCTTCCCTGCTCACACCCCAATTCCAGGGCTCCGCTGTGGGCCGGTGGGTGAGAGTCCCCAGGCCTCTGATGCCCTGGACTCAGCAGGTGGCTGGATCAGGCCTGGCCTCACCCGTCAGCCCCCAGGCGTGGCCAGGCACCACCCCCAGCATCCTGAGAGCCAGACTGTGCTCTCAAGGGGCTTAGAATCCGGGGTAGGGGGAGGCGGGGGATGTGGCCAGCACTACAGACTTGCTCCCTGACACAGAGGGGCTGAGGCAGCTCTACAGGGGATCCCAGGGCCCTGGGGCCTTTGTTAAAAAGGTATACGTCAAAACCCTGGTTCTAAAGTGCAACGTGCTCAGCAGGTTGAAACAGTGTGATCCACTGAATCGAGGGGCTGGCCATGCTGTCCTCGGTCCTGTGTGCTGCAAGGCTAGCCTAGTGGCCAGACTCAGGTCCATGCCCTGCTTCCTCCATGATGCCTGTTCGTCCAGCCAAGCAGCCCCTCACTCCCCACGCCCCACATCCCCTGCCCTGCCCACCTCCACCAAGACTTACCTTCACACACCATTCAGATCTGGCCCCCGTCCTGCCACCTATCCTCCCTCCCTGATGCCAGGACACCTGTCCTTCCCTCCATCGGGCTCTCCCCACAGCGAGTGCTGGCGATCCGGTTGTGGGCCACCCTCTATTCAACCAAGAGTTGCTCAAGGACAGGGCCAGGCCTTGCTCACCTGTGTCCCCAGCATCTGGTCTGGCCTGGCCCAGAGTAGGTGTTTAACAAATGTGTTGCCCTGGAGGGCCCTGCATGTAGCGGTGGCTCCTAGTATCTGCCCACCTCCCTGGGCCCTTCTGCCTTGCTGAGCTCCCAGCCCCAGCCACATGCCTTCGCCTGGGGCTTGTCGAGACTAGGGCTGGGGTGATAGAGCCCCAGGAGCAGCACCGGCCAATGCCCAAGGGGAGCTATGTGTAAATATCCTAGCTCCCTGGGTAAATCTGAGGTCCGTGTTTTACACCGTCTCCCAGAGTTCCACAGTGGGATTAAGTTATCCACAGGGTAACTGGCTTGATTTTAGAAACAAACAAACAAACCTTTATTAGGTGCCTTCCCTTCCCACCTCCCGTCACTCTGCCAGCACCTGCTGGGGTTCCCTCTCATATAAGCTTCCTGCAGCCCGATCCTTCTATGGGGCCTCTTTCTGCTGAAGGTGGAGGGCTCATAATACGCAGCTCTTGACCCCTACCCAGTGGCAATAGGCAGTAACTGCAACCAAATAATTTGAGGATGTGTAAGACTAGACCCACCCCCTCTAGCAACATCAAATATTATATCAAATCTCCAGATCAGAGAGAAAACGACAAGTACCCAGAATTCAGTCCTGAGGACATAGAAATATGTAAGCTAAATGACAAAGAATTCAAAATAGCTATCATCAAAAAACTCAACGGGTAAAAGAAAATGTAGAGAAACAATTCAATGAGATCAGGAGATACTTCACAAAAGAGATTGAAACTATAAAGAGGAATCAATCAGAAATAGAGATGAAAGACACAAGGGAAGAGATAAAACAAAATATGGATTCCCTGAACACTCAAGTGGACATCATAGAGGAGCGAATCAGCATAATTGAGGATAGATGTGTTGAAATGCTTCGCACAGAGGAGGAGAGAGAACTAAGACTAAAAAGAAATGAGGAAAGTCTCCAAGAAATAGCCAACTCACTGAGGAAATGCAACATAAGAATTATAGGTATTCAGGAAGGAGAAGAGAAGGAGAATGGAGCAGAAAGTGTGTTCAAAGAAATAATAGCAGAGAATTTCCCAAACCGAGGGAAAGAGAGGGAAATCTGTGAGGAAGAGGCTTCCAGATCTCCTAGATATGTCAATGTAAAAAGACCTATTGCAAGGCCTATAGTAGTAAAACTGGCAAAAATGAATGACAAGGAAAGAACAGTAAGGGCAGCAAGGCAGAAGAAAACAACCTACACAGGAACCCCCATCAGGCTTTCAGCAGATTTCTCTGCAGAAACCTTACAAGCTAGAAGAGAATGTAATGACATAATTAAATCTTTGAAAGACAAAAATTTTCAGCCAAGAATACTCTATCCAGCAAAAATATCCTTCAGATATGATGGAGAAATAAAAACTTTCCCAGACAAACATAAGCTAAGGGAGTTCGTAGCCACAAGATCCCCCTACAAGAAATCCTCAAGAAGGCCTTCATACCTGAAAAATAAAAAAGGGAGAAAGGGGTCACAAAGCCCAGAATAAGGAGATAAATAGGTAGACAGAATCGGAGCAGGATAGCAAATACTCAAGTGTAGCATCAAAGATAAAGGGAAGGAAAACACCAAAAACAAAGATAATCTTGTCATTTTAACCACAAACTCACAACACAAGATGGAATAAGATGTGAGAAAAACAACTTAGGAGGGGAGGAGGAAAGGGACTGAATCAGTTTAGACTAAGGAAATAAGAGGCCATCAGAAAAGGGACTATCTTATCCACGAGATTCTGAATACAAACCTCAGGGCAACCACTAAACAAAAGAGCAGAACAGAGACACAAAAATAAATAAGGAGAAAATAAAGAAACATAACATAAAAAACTACATAATTCAATGGGTAGACCGAAACACACAGGATGAGAAACAAAGGAAATGCAGGAGAACTAGAAACTGAGAGATAAAATGACTGCATTAATTAAGCCCTCATGCATCAATAATCACCCCAAACGTAAATGGATTGAATTCTCCAATAAAAAGACACAGAGGGGCTGGTCCGGTGGCACAGTGGTTAAGTGCGCACGTTCTGCTTCAGCAGCCCGGGGTTCGTTGGTTCAGATCCAGGGTGCGGACATGGCACTGCTTGGCACACCATGCTGTGGTAGGCGTCCCACATATAAAGTGGAGGAAGATGGGCACAGATGTTAGCTCAGAGCCAGTCTTCCTCAGCAAAAAGAGGAGAATTGGCAGCAGTTAGCTCAGGGCTAAGCTTTCTCAAAAAAAAAAAAAAAAAAAGAGTGGCGAGATGGATTAAAGAACAAGATCCAACAATTTGCTGCCTCCAGGAAACACACCTCAGCTCCAATGACAACCACAGGCTCAGAGTGAAGGGATGGAAGACGATACTCCAAGCTAATGGCAAACAGAAGAAAGCAGGTGTTGCAATACTTATATCAGACAAAGTAGACTTCAAGATAAGACAGGTGAAGAGAGACAAAGAGGGGCAGGATATAATGATCAAAGGGACACCCCACCACAAAGACATAACACATAAATATCCATGCACCCAGCACAGGAACACCAAAGTACATAAAGCAATTGTTAACAGACCTAAGAGGAGATACTAATAATAACACAAACATTTGTTCTGCAGCCACTGAGGGCTTTTAGAGTCCTGGAGGGAAGGCCCGGCCCCCAGAAGCAGCTCTCCAGCCCCCAGCCTGGGAGGGAAGGGGCAGCTCACCTGGATGTGCCACCCGAGCAGCCGCTCGCTGAGCACCCGCAGGGAGACCCGCCTGCAGTTCTGCAGTTTGGCCTTGCGCCACAGCAGCCTGTCGGTGGACGTGTCGTAGATGGCATAGCCGTCCATGCTCTCTTTCAGGGCCTTGAAGTCGTGCTTCAGGTCGTGACCCACCACCAGCTTGCCTCTCAGGAGCTGCAGGATCTGGCCAGGAAGACACACCCACGCATCACCCAGGGTCCTCTGGGTGGGTCTGGGGCAACTTGGTGCCTTCATGGGGCAGACAAGGAGCAGCCCCTCCTCGACTTGCTGTGTGACTTTGAACAAATCTCTGTCCCTCTCTGGGTTTTAAACATATCGTTCATAAAACGAGGAGACTGGACCAGGTCCCTCCTCCCACTGAATAGTTGAGGTCTGTGCTAAAGGGCCCCCCAACTCCTTGAGGGGTTTCCATGCGTAATAGCAATGGCTAGCACATACTGAGTATGTCCCATATGCCAGGCGCTCACCTAAGGATGTCACATATATTATGTCCTTTAGTCCTTTCAACAGTCCACTGCGGCAGGCTGAGTACTGACCTCCCACAGGTGCCCACACCCTAATGCTCAGGACCTGTGGGCAGGTTACACAGCAACGGGAAATGAAAGCTGCAGACAGAGTTCAGGGTGCTTATCAGACGACCTCACAACAGGGAGATTTTTCTGGATTATCCAGGTGGGCCCAACATAATCCCAAGGGTCCTCAGGTGTGGAGGTCAGTGATTAATGGGGCAACTCAACATGCTGCTGGCTCTGAAGAGGGAGGAAGGGCCGTGGGCCCAGGACGCGGGCGGCCTCCTTAAGCGAGAAAGGCAAAGAAGAATTGGATTTCCTCGCAGAGCTCCGGACGGCTGACGCCTGGCCTTCACCGGGTGAGACCCGGGCGGGACCGCCAAACTACACAAGTGGAGATGGTAACGTGGTGTTGTAAACCACTAAGACTATGGTTTTGCTACCGCTGAAAACTAAAACAGCAGAGAGGGAGGGCCGTATTTAACGGAAGTTTGCAACTGAGAAAACGGAGGCACAGAGAAAGTGAAATAATTAGCCCAAGGTTTTAAGGCAAGTCTGCAGACTCCCTGACGCCCTCTCACAAAAGATTGTCTCGTTCCCCTCGCCCTGAATATGGCACTTCTGCCTTCTCTGTGGGGCCGGGAGCCCAGGAGCCATGAGCTCCCCAGAGCCACACGCTGCAGAGACCACGTGGGGACAGGGACGCACCTGAGGAACCCCAGCCACAGATGGGTGGGTGAGCAAACCTCCTGATGATTCCAGCCCCCGGCATGCAGGACGGATGCCCCCGCTGCTCCATGGCCCCGGCTGCCAAGTCCCGCCCAGATTGCGGGTGCATGAGTGAAATATTGACATCGTCTGAACCACTATTTTGGGGCGATCTGCTAAGCACCATTAGATGACTGTTAGTGGCAGAGCCAGCCTTCGAAGCCAGAGGACTGCTGCCAGCACCTGCTTGTCACCAGGACACTTTCCAGAAAGAGCAGGCCTGCTCCAGGCCTCTGCCACCCCAGCGGCCGAGCTCCGAGCAGCAGCCCTGAGGGCCCCAGCCTGGCGCCCTGCGCACGTGCCCAAGCTCCCCTCTTGCCTCCGTTCTCGCCTCCTCTCCCACGGCGGCCCCACGGACAACCTCCTGCCTCTGGCCACTTTATTTGGCTGCCGTTGTGAGGATGGGCTGGGGTACCATGGGGCGAGCTGTACGCGGCCCAGGGGAAGGGGCAGCTCGTGACTCTCTGGTCCGTTTGGACATCTCTCAGCAGCCTCCGTCTCTGCCTCTGTGCGTCGCCGAGGACTGTAGTCTGTGCCCGGGGAAGGGGCCTTCTGGATGGCCAACACCCTCCCACGTCCTGCTTATGCCTCTAGTGGCCTCCCGAGACCCCATGTGGGGCCTGTGGTACGTGATCCCTTTGACGACCACAGGTTATTGTGGCCACTGTACAGAAGAGGAAGCTGAGGCTCAGAGAGGGGAGGTGACCTGCCCACGGTCACGGCGCTGGAAGAGGGGTCTCCCCATCCACCGTCAACTGGCAGTGTCACCAGCCTGCCCTGCCGTTCACGTGGCTTTGTTGGGGGCCTCCTCTGGATGGAGCCCCGCTAGACCTGGGACTGGGGGAAGCTCGCTGTGCCACTCCTGAGGGACGCCGGTGCTCTCACACTGGGCCTCAGAGTCAGCTGGTGAAGCCCCCTGAAATCTGGATTCAGATTCTGGATTCTGTGTTTCTAACGGGTGGTGCTGCTGCTGCTGGTCCGGGGCTCACCCTGAGTGGTGAGGGCCCCCGACCTCAGAGCAGCAGCTTAACGGGGCTCCCATGCGTGGAGGAAAGGACCGGCCCAGGCAGAGGGGCGGGGGAGTGAGGCTGTGTGGCTGGCTGTGGGTCATGCGCCTCCTCTTACTGACGTTCTTTCTGTTTCCAAACAATGTGGCCTGTTTTCCCTGCTGGGAGCTGGCTCAGGCCCAGTTCATACAGAGCCCCGAGGGAACTGTCTGCCATCCCAGAGACAGCCGCGGCCAGTCCCAGGCACGAGAGGGCCAAATCATTGTGCTGTGGATTCCTAGAAAATGCATCACTTCCCCAGTCTGAGTGTCCCTGGGCGGGGCTACGTGCCATACACAGGACTCATCATGAAACAAATAAGAGGGGGTTGGGGGGCTGGCCCTGCAGCCGAGTGGTTAAAGTCCCTGGGTTCCGCTTTGGCAGCCTGAGTTCTCGGGTTCGGATCCTGGGTGTGGACCTACTCCACTCATCAGCCATGCTGTGCCGGCGTCCCACATACAAAGTAGAGGAAGATTGGCACAGATGTTAGCTCAGAGCTGATCTTCCTCTAGCAAAAAAGAGGATTGGCAATCAATGTTAGCTCAGGGCCAAACTTCCTCACACACACACAAAATAAAAATAAAGGGGTGGATGGACAGGCAGAAGGAAGGAAGAAGAAGCAGGGAAAAGAGAACAGTCTCTTTGGCAGAGAGATGCCAACAACTCCTCAGGACAAAGAGGCTGGGCATTCGGCAGGAAAAGACTGCCAGGACTTGCTGTGTGGCCTCAGGGATGTCAAAGTTCGTCTCTGGGCTTCAGTTTCGCCATGTGTAAGGTGAGGGCCTGGAGAGGTGAGCTCCACCAACTTGCTGAGGCAGGGCTGGGGGACCTGCTAGAGCCCAGGGAGGGGTGCTGAGGTGCCAGCTGGCAGGACCTCAGGGCTGTGTGACCTGCTGGCTGTGGGACCGCCCTGAGTCAGTGTCACAAGGCAGGTGTGTCAGAAGCAGGGGGCAGAGACTCTGGAATTCCTGGAAAGAACTGGAGTGGGGACGTTCATTGACCGGCTCTTGTTGGCCTGGCTCTGTGTCAAGTGCTTTCCTCACCTCCTGAGATTTCTTAACAGGAACACACTCGCGTTCCTTTACAGAGGAGGGTGCTGGGCATCAGAGAGGTTCAGAGGCTTGCCCGGGTCACACAGCCAGTGAGCTGCGAGCTGAGAGGTGTCGGGATCCGCCTGAGTCTGTCACTAGTGTCCCAGTTGTTGTTATGACGCCTTTAGAGAACTGGGGACGGTCTCTGCATGATTAACCCAGAGCGGAGAGCAGTGCTGGGCCCACTGGCACCCAGTGAGCATCGCCTGAATTGGGGATACAGCCCCTAGAAGGCGAGGTGATCATTCCATCTGACCAACAGGGCCAGTGGGGCACAGAGTGGTGTGTGCCCACGTCACATGGCAGGGCATTTCCCACAAGGGCCTCATCGAAAAAATCACCCGGGGCCCTTGTTAAAAATTCAGAGGGCGGGCCCTGCTCCAGGCCTCCTGCATGCAAATCACTGGGGGGTGTTAGCAAATGTTCCGGGGGATTCTCCGCATCGTGAGTTTGCACATCTCTGCCCTGAGCCTGTCAAAGAACAGCTCAGCCTGCCGCTTCCATCACACACTCGCGCTTCCAGAAGAGGTGGCTGTGAGGGACTTTGAAGAATGTCGTCCCTACAGAGGCCCAGATCCCCTGCTGTCATCCTCAGGAGTGGCCCCAGTCCCCTTTCCTCCCGGCCCCTGCCCCCAGCTTGTGCCTGCTTCCCACAGGGCTGTACCCTGGGGGAAACCTGGATGGTGAAATCGTCCTCTTCCCTCTGGCCCAGCCCCAGAGAAACCTGCCCAGTGGCAGGGCCCCAACAGGGCACCCTGACCCAGGCGAGGGCTGCTGAGCTGGCTACAGCCCCGTTAACTCCCTGTTCACCAGCTCCCACGGCCTGCCTCCTGTCTGTCTCCCTCCTAAGCCACGAGGCCTCCCGGGATTCAGTTTCCCTGTTTGCAGACTAAAAATGGAATGATCCTGGGGAAGTGCTACTTGTCATCCTGGGATGACACTGAAAGAGCGTTCGTTCACTTACGAAAGAGAGCTACAAGCTATTAAAAATTGCTGTTAGTAAAAAGAGAAGAAAAAAAAGAGAAAAGGATCATGAACTTGCCAGGTGAGAGCCCTGGATCTGAGCACTGAGTTCTAGCACAGCTTGCTGTGTGTCCTTAGGCAAATCACTGCCCCTCTCTGGACTTCAGTCTCATAGGTTCCCTCCTGCACTGACAGTCTGCCCTGCGGGGCCCTCTATAGACCAGACTTTCTCTGCCTCGATCCTTTCTCTGTCGATCCTTCTTTGGTGTGCATGTGGTGGGGGAGTGGCTGTCCCATGTGCTGTATGATGTTTCACACCATCCCTGGCATCTACCCACTGGATGTCAGTAGCAGGCCCCCCCACCCTACCTATGACAACCAGAAATGTCTCCAGATCTTGCTAAATGTCTGCCGGGGAGCAAAATCACCCTGCATGGAGGACCGCTGCTCTTGAGGATGGTCAGACCTAGCGATGTCAGGGGACAGGCAAATGCTTCCCATTGCAAAGTAATGTAGCCACATACAAAAAACAAAAGAGAGAGGGGATGGCAGGAGCCCACCCACGGTCCTTGCCCTGTGGCAGCGCACGCCTGGCGGGCTCGGGGGTCAGCGGCTGCCCAGAGCCCTCCTGGCTGCCGCGGGCTGCCCTGTGGCTCACCGCTCCTGTGGGAGGAGGAGTCAGGCTGGCAAGCGACCCCTGAAAGATGCCTGCGAGAGACCAAGGCCTGGAGGGCCCCAGGCTCACCTGAGAGGGGTCCCCCGGCCTCAGGGGTCTGAGAGGTGGCTCACAGGCTTCTGCCCTTTGGGGCCCCCAGCACATCCTGGGGCCTGTGACCCTGGCCTCTGTCTTTGGGGTTAAAACATTAGGGATGATGAGTGGGATCAAGCTGCCTCAGAGTCATCCTCCATGAAGACAAATGACAGCCGTGGCCTTGTTCCATGGCTTCCCTCAGTGCCACACCAGCCACTGCCCTCACGTGTACGGGACACTCAGTGTGCATGGAGCGACCTCGCACACGTTGATCGTGGGATCTGAACACCACAGGGCCAGCTCTGGAGCCGGAATCGAGTCTCTGCTCCACCCTTCCTTGGACAGCCAGCTCGGCCTTGTGCCTCAGCTTACTCATCCACAAAATGGAGCGATGAGACCAGTTAACTACTCCCACGCTGTGGCGGGGAGTGGAGGCAGCAGTATGTGAAAGGGGCTTAGCACAGTCCCTGGACATGGTGCTGGATACACCTGTGCTATTTCTTCACCCCTGTGTTACAGAGGATTCTACTAAGGGGCACAGAGAGGTTTAGCAACAAGCCGGGGACACAGAGCAATCAGGTGGCAGACATCCAGCCAAGTCTAAAGACAGTGGGCTTGCTCCCCGCCCCCGGGCTGTGTGTGTGACTGCATCTCGACAGCAAAGGCCGGCACAAGGGCAGAGGCAATTTTGTTCCACACAGCAGCCAGAACTCCTGTATTTTGTGAAAATCAACTCAACTCCAATCCCACAAGCATCCTCAGGGCACCTTGAGTGCCAAGCACAGCATCCAGTCTGGGGCAGACAACGCATAGAGCAGGGGCTGTGGGCTGGGCAGACTGCATGTGTAGACGGGCGACCTTGAAAGCGCATGGGCCACAGCAAGGAGGGTGGGGGACCCTCACGGTAGGTCCAGCGGGGCAGGGGTAGGGCAGGGCATCATAAAGGTCTCCTCTGGCCTGGGCCTGCTGGGACGGTGGTATCCCTAGGGGCCGGGGTGAGGGGCGGGGAGGGTAGGAGCTTGGCTGAGGCCCAGGGTGGACGATGGCTGAGCCATGAGAAGCATGGAAAGGTAGGGAGGGAGGGGTTTGGAGGGCCCTGAGGCTGGACCCCTGCACCACAGGCAGAATCAACAGCAGGGTGGGGAGGCTGAGATCTGAGGCAGGCCCGGGGTGCTTCCTCTGGCAGCCGGTGTAGCTGGTGCAGCTGGCGGCAAATGAGGGCCAGCCTCTGAGGCCGCGGTTCCCAAGGGAGTCGGAAAGGGGACTCAGGCACAGTCTGGGCTGCGGCCCTTCCCTCGCCACAGGCACGTGCAGCGGCATCAGCCGGGAGCTGGGCGCTGTGCTCAGGGGTGTAGGCGGTGTCGCTGCATCCAGCCTGCGCGAGGCCAGGGGGGCGGCATTAGTACTCCCCTTTCACGGAGGAGGAAACTGAGGCTCCGAGAGGTCACACAAACCAGTAAGTGAGTAAGTAAGTAAGTAAGCAGGAAATGGTCCCCCCGGCTGTGGTTCCCAAGATTGCCTGGCCTCTGGGTCCCCACCCCACTCCTGGGACGGCCGTGGAGTGCCTCGGAGGGCAGGCTCCGTGTAGCACACCGGAGGCACTGGGCCTGGCAGAGTCTCCAACTGGGAAACAAGAGTGCTTCTGTATGTCTGGGCGAGGACCCAGGCGTCCTGACTCCCAGGCCAGTGCTCAAAGGCATCCAGAGGACTGGCTGCCTCTCCAGACTGGAGGTGTGAGAGGCATTTCTCTGCTGCCCCTCCCCGTCCCCTGGGCCCTTCTGCTCTCTGTCACACTGATGGGGAGGGGGCTGGGGACGAGGAGGAAGGATGGGGATGGGCTGTCTACCTGACCTGTGGGGAGCTGAGTGTGGGGAGCTCTGTGCAGTGTCCCTGGTCCCTCATGAGCACCTGAACAGACCCCCCTCTTCTTCATGTTGCCCCCCTTCTTGGTGACTCTCCTTTGGTCTCCTCCATCCTAACATTTCCTTCTTTCCAATCCTCTGTCTGCGCCTGATGACTCAGGGCCTCCCAACTGCTCCCCAGGGGCTCTCACTCTTCTCCCTGCTGTCATCTCTTTCCTCACTCCCATCTCTCCCCCGCAGCTCCCCCCATTCTAGTTTTTCTGAAATTAGTTTTGATCCTCCCATGCTCTTGCTCAAGAGTCTTCAATGGCTCCCTATGGCCTACTGAGTTGCATACACAGACTCCTCCCCACCCTCACAAATACCATCAGCCTCTTAGAGTCTTTCAAGCACCGCCCTGATGTACTGTGCCCCCTCCTCAGGGCTCCCAGTATTCTCGTAGTACCCCAAGAACAGTGCTGTCCAACAGAACATAACATGAGCCACAAGTGTAATTTTAAGTCATCTAATAGCCATATTTAAAAAGGTAAAAAGAAATAGGGGAACTTGGTCTTAATGTTTTATTTAACCTAATATATCTAAAATGTGATCATTTCAACATGTAATTGATATAAAGAACTGTTGAGGTGCTTTATGAGATGTTTACCCAAATCTTGGAAGCCCAGCGTGCGCTTTACAGGCACAGCACGTGGCCTTTCAGCACGGCCACTTCTCAGGGCTGGCTCCTGCACATGGCTGCTGGCGCCTCCCAGACACTCAGCTCAGGAGCTGGGGGCCTGAGTTTTGAATCCTGATCAGCTTGCCCACGTTCTGTTTATCCGAGCTCGTGTGAGTTGCTTACTGTTATGGGTTGAATTGTGTCCCTCCAAAATCACGGGTTGAAATCTTAACGCCCCGCACCTCACAATGTGACTTATTTGGAAATAGGGTCAAGGTGGAGGTCATCAGGGTGGACCCTAACCCAGCAGGACTGATGTCAGAGACAGGCACACGCGGCAACGCCGTGTGAACGTGAAGCCAGGGACGGGTTAAGCGCCCACAAGCCAGGGAACATCAGAGACTGCCAGGAAGCTGCCAGAAGCCAGGAGAGAGACAGAGAGCAGGCTCCTCATGGCCTCGGAGGAACCCAGCCTGCCAACACCCTCATCTGGGACGTGCAGCCTCACAACCGTGGGCCGGTAGTCGTCTGTGCTCCAGCCCCGCCTGTGGCCCCTTGTGCCGGCAGCCCTAGTCAGCCTGTGCCCTCGCCTGCCACAGGGGACGACGGGAAGCGATCGTCACGGTGAACCTGCTCTGAGGACTGACGCGCTCTCTCGACGCTCAGAATAACCCTGAGAAGCTGCTTGATTGTTATCCCCGTTTTCTTGGACAGCTGGGGACACTGGGAAACCTTGCCCAAGGTAACCTGGCTGGGAAGCAAGCAGCCGGGACCCAGAGCCGGCCTCTTAACCTTGACTTAGGCCCCTGAGCAGCTTCCTGGCAGGCTCCTAGCTGGTGGGTGGCGGGCACTTGGGAGAGCATCCGGCGAGGGGCCAGCATGCCGAAAATAGGAGCCAGTGTTTCAGGGCCAGCACCTGTGCGCGGTGTGTGGCCTTGAAATGCAATTCTCTGTGTTCTTGAACTTCCCCAAGCCCCACCAGCCCAGGAACCGAGGAGTTCACATGCCCTTCTACACCTTCCCAGAAGTGACTAACCCTGGTGGCACTTTGAGAGCAGTTGAGTTTGCTTTCTGTTTAGTGGTTCAGAGAAACCGAAAGTTAGACCTGGAGAAGACACCACAACAAGGGAAAGCACAGAGGGTGGGGAACCGGGGGCCATAGGCTGACCTCAAACTGCGGGGTGGCCTCACATGCGTCTGGGAGCCATATCTCCTCTTGGCCCAAGGGGCTCTGGCCTGTCCTCCAGGACCAGGAGGGCCACTGCCAAGGGCCCAGCCAGAGTCCCTCACTTCCCCGCAGGGCTCACCAGTGGCAGCCCAGGGGAGAGGAGAGAACGGGGACGCTAGCCAAAAATAGTGTGTGTGGAACATCAGACGAGACGCAGTTTCCCCATCACAAGCTCAGCAAGGTAGACCAGCTGCCCCGTAGGCTGCTCCCAGACGAGAGTCTAAGGATGTCTGACGGCAGGCAGCCGTCTCAGGGATGTGCTGGAGACGCCAACAGGCTTCTCCACACCCTGGTGCTCCCCACGCAGGCGAGGCGGGGAATCTTACATGGCTGGGGGCACAGGTCACAGATCTGATCACTCACCTCCTGCCTGGCCTCGGTGAATGGTGTGGCTTTCTCCATGTGCCGAGGCGTCACCCCGCTGACCCGCGTCCTGTAGTCAACGATCTCCCCGTCCGGCTGGATGAACTTGTCATAGAGCACGGTGCCATGGAGGTCCACGAGGCTGCAGCGGGCCAAGCCGCTCTCCCCGAAGGGCCCCAGGCCCACCATCTCGCAGTCCATGGCCACCACCTCGCGGTCACCTGCCATGTTCCGCTGGGACCCTCAGACGTTCTGGAGAGGGGGCAGCAGGAGGGGCATCATTCAAGGGCCAACCGAGGCCCCAGGTGTCCTCAGCCACCGCCCGGCCGGCCTGCACCCTCTGCCCTGCCCTTTGTCCCAAATACCACCTGACAAAGGGGGAAGTTGGTTTCTACCCCACCCAGTTTCCTCAGCCCCGAGGTCCCAGGGCCTCTGGTCCTGTCCGGCAGCCTCAGGACCAGGAGGCCCCCTCTCATCACCTCCCCTGGCCACTACCCCCAAGAAGCTCCTTGAACCCACTGTCCAGTCCTCCGCTCACCTGCCTGCCTGGGTGCCCTGGCTCATGCCTGCCTTGGTCCCCCAGTCACCAGCCTGCCTCAGAGCCCTGGGCTCACAGTTGCCTCGGCCCCCCTCTCACCTGCTTGCCTCAGAGCCCTGGGCTCACACCCTCCTCAGTGCCCTGGGCTCACGCCTGCCTCGGTCCCCTGCTCACCTGCCCGCCTCAGAGCCTTGCTCACGCCTGCCTCTCTGGCGCCACTTCTCCGCTACTGCAGCTGCTCTCAGCAGTGACTCATCTCCGACTTCAAACGGGGAATCCCGACCTGTTTCAGTTTCTAGTTTGTCATCAAGTAAAGTCACGGGTGGGAGGCCGGGCACGTGGGCCGGGTTGCTTCATCTCCTCGGGCTGCCGGCAGGCGGAGAACTGGGCGGCCTCAGTCAGGGCTGACAGACCTGGCAGGCTCCACGTCTTGGTGTCCTGTCTTTGCCCCTGCTTCCTCTCCTCAGATGATGCAGCTGCCGTGGATGGAGTGGATTGCAACATCTTCCTTTCCTTTCTCACCCTCCGCCCCGTCTGTAGAATAAACATCCCAGGACTGGAGCCCAGGGAATGTCCCACGACTTCCGGGGCCGCTACCAATCTGACACTCCGCGAGGTCTTTTAGCGGCCAGGGGGAGCTGGTTCTGGGGACACTGACGCTATTAACTGGGAAGGGCAAAAGGCTGGGGGCAGTGAGGGAGCCCTCCAGGCTCAGGGGGTGCAGGGGGACCTCGGAAACAGCTATCTGTCTGCCCTCCGGGGGTTCAGCCTCCAGCTCGGCTGACACTGTTTAAAGGCGAGGAGAAGCAGTCCCAGGGATAGCCCCCACCACCCAGCCTTATGTCCTGGGGGCTACACTCTCCCAGCCTAGAACTTTGACCTCTTAGAACAGTGCCTGGTATGTAGGGAACACTCAGTATTTACTGAATAAATGAATGAGTTCGTTATAACTGGGGAGAAACAGACTCGGCTTTCACTGAGGAAGTCATCCATCAATACTGTGCTGAGACTCAGTGATGAGTTGAGAGCCCCCCATCTCCCATCTTGCCTCCAACCCCAGGTCCACTTGGAATAAGCACTGAGCAGCCCCATCTGACTGCCCCCAACTGTCACAAAGATTTGTGCTCGGAAAGGAATTTCCCCGGATCCCTGGTGTTTTCACCAAGTGACGTTCAACTTAGACTTCAAAAATCAAACCAAATGCTAAAATATGTCTAAATGCTAAGACGCTGCTCCTGTTTGGCGTTCAATTGGTTCAAATTTGGGTATAAGAGGTTGTTTTTGGTTCCCATCCTAAATGAGCAACTTTCTCTGGAATTCAGACAGAACCTATGCTCACCCCTCCTGTTCTTTCCCCCACGGGTCCTGAGCCTCTTCCGCGGTCGGTCCAGACCCACACCCCCCAGTCTTTGCTGCATTTCCCCATCTCTCCGCATGCCTATCCGGGCCCTCACCTGCCCGTCAGCTCCTGGCCTCCCGCCTCCACCTTCACGCTCTGCGCCAAAGTGTCCTCCGAATCCTAACAGATTTAATTGCCCCAAATCTAATCTCTTGCACACTCACAGCACTTTGCTCAAGAACTGACAGTGATTTCCCGTCGTCCCAAAGAAAAATCAAACCTCAGCTCCCGTGCAGTTCCCAAGGCCCTTTTTCCTCTCTCCCACCAGGCTTTCCAATTTAACCTGCACCACTATCTCTTTTAGGTCTCTACCGGAATTCAGGGCCATTGTGTTCCCGTGGCGACCCCTCCCAAACCTTCAGCAGGCCCTCCCTGACTCCTTCAGTCCCCGTCGGCCAGTCCTACACTCGCATTCACCCACTCACCCAGTGCTGGGCCCTGGGGCCAGAGGGCAGGTCGGGTCTCTGCCTGCATGTGAAGAGACAGGTGGCCACCATTCCCGCTGCTCACCTCTGTCCACCGCGCTGGCTGCTTCTGTGCCCTGGGGCCTGAGCATTTGCTGGACGGTCTGGAAAGCTCTTCGTTAGCAATCCGGTTTGCTCCCTCTCCTCAGGTCTCCTACTGAGGCCTTCCCTGGCCTCTATTGAGAGCTGCACTTCCTACCCCCTTCCTGGATTTCTTCTACAGGAATCAGCACCATCTGAAATACCTTGTGTTTTACGGGTCGTTTTCTTCTCCCCTTCCCACTTGCTTGGTTTGCTGGCGACCTCCGGCACCTAGAACCTGCCTGGGTCAGGTTGAACATTTTTCAAATGTGTTGGACACAGGCACCGGTGAGTAACAGAGCCTAGGGCAAGAATTGTGATCCCAGCCACGGGGATGGGCCTGAGGGGTTCCCAATAGTAATGTCCTGGGTTTAACTGGAGTCACCCATCGGCCAGACCAAGCCCACAAATCTTGTTGGGTCAGGTGACAGCAAAAAAGTGAATCACTCAGGGCAAACCTCCCAGCCTTACAGACGCGCATCCTGTCACAGTTGGCCTACCTCCTGTGACCGTAGCAGGTACCAAGGCTGCCACTGTGTGGGCTTCCCTGGACCCCCGGTACTGGGCACGGTGCCCAGGCTGAGCTAACAATTCGTAATGCTGGGTCAGATGCCGCTCCCTATAGGCAAGCTGCTCTCTGAATCCCAGCTCACCATCTCCAGCCTTAGCTGGGCACGTACTCTGAGAATGGGTGTGTGCATTTCTAAATTATACACTCCAGATGGAATCATAAATATCAGCTGTTTCGTGTGGTTCAATCTAACAGATGTAAAACTGTGCTAATGGAATATGTTTTAAAAACAGACATAAAAAGAAAGTTAAAAATAAACTATTTACCAATAGGCATGTGAAAAGATGCTCAACATCACCGGTCATTAGGGAAATGTCAATCAAAAACACAATGAGCTATTACCTGACACCTGTTAGAATGGCTGCCAAAAAGGAACAGAAGATAAGTGCTGGGGAGGATGTGGAGAAAGGGGAAGCCTTGTGGACTGTTGGTGGGAATGTAAAATGGTACAGCCACTATGGAAAACAGTATAGAAGTTCCTCAAAAATTCAAAAAGAATTACCACGATCCAGCAATTCCACTTTGGGGTGTAGACCTAAAAGAATTGAAAGCAGGATCCCAAAGAGATATCACAGCCCCATGTTCACAGCAGCGCTGTTCACAATAACCAAGGAGGGGGAAGTAACTCGTGTCTATTGATGGATGGATGGATGGATAAGCAAAATGTGGCATATACCTCCAAATGAGTATCATTCAGCCTTAAAAAGGAAGGAAATTCTGACACACATACAACACGGGTGAACTTTGAGGGCATTATGCTAAGTGAAATAAGCCAATCACAAAAAGACAAATATTGTAGGACTCCACTTATATGAGCTATCTAGACAAATTCACAGAAACAGAAAGTAGAATGGGGGCTGCCAGGAGCTGGAGGGAGGGAATGGGGAGCGACGGTTTAATGAGTACAGTAGTCCTCCCTTATCCCGTTTTCCTTTCCATGGTTTGTTACCCGTGGTCAATCACAATCCAAAAATGTTAAATGGAAAATTCCAGAAATAAACCATTTGTAAGTTTAAAACCGCTCACCATCTGAGTAATGTGATGAAATCTCGCAATGTCCCTCTCCGTCCCACCTGGGACGTAAATTGTCCCTTTGTCCAGCATATATGCTACCCGCTCGCCCATGAGTCACTTAGTAGCCCTCTCAGCTATCAGATCAACTGCCGTGGTCTCCCAGTGCTTGCATTCAAGTCCCCCTCACTGTGCTTAGTAACGGCCCCAAAGCCCAAGTCGTGATGCTGGCGATTTGGACAGGCCAGAGAGAACAGTTGTTGTTTGTTACTGTGCCTAGTTTGCAAATTAGACTTTACCACAGCCAGGTATGCGTAGGAAAACACAGTATACATATAGGGGCTGGTACTGTCTAGGTTTCGGCATCCGCTGGCAGTCCTGGAACGCATCCCTTGCAGATAAGGGGGGACTACGGTAGAGTGTTTCACAAGCTAAAAGATGGGCTGCCCAATGTGAACATATTTAACACTACTGAACTCCACACTTAAAAATGGTTAAGACGATAAATTTTATGCTGTGTATTTTACAATTAAAACTAAAAATTTTTAAGATAAAAAAATGAGTATGCAGCTTCAGGAAGAAACAAGTTAAATAAACTTGTGCTCTGTAATATAGTTATAAAATTTTAAAAAATCAACAACACAAACTCTGGAGGTCTGATATTTTCTTGCCACATCCCAAGCGCCATCCTGAAAGCCACCCGCCTCCGAGGCCAAAGCACCCTGCACGACTCAGCGCCAGCACCCCAGGCCCCGACCCTGGCTGCAGACTGCCCAGAAGAGGCCGCTTCACCCACTTTTCCAACTGAATTTTATTCCAGAAGAAACGGTTTTACAACACAGCTGATTGTAAGCCCAGCACACCTCCCCACTGCTAACAGCTCCAGCTTCTTTCAACCCACAGGCGAAGAGCCGAAACTGCTGCTCAGCTGTGAGTGAGTGAGGCGTCAGCTACAGACTTTTAAGGAATCCAGAACAAAGTCCTGGAGGCGGGCCAGGAGTGGGCCATGACTCAGACGCTCCCTGTTGGGCAGGTGGGGAGGGAGGGGGTGACAGGACAATCTGTGGCCTGGAGTTCAGGGGTGCCTCACCCTTCCTGGCCCTGCTGCTTTGCTCAGACTGACACGAAAAGCCCTTGTTTTTCTGCACACAGCAGAGGGCCAGAGTCCATGCAGGTCACGCAGCTGTGGGGAGCACTGAGAACCCTGGCCCCCACGCTGTGTCCTCACCCCAGGCCCAGCCCCACCTGCTGGAACAGCCACCGCGGTTCTGTCTGGGCCAAAGCCGCTCAGCCCGAGGGGTGTGTTCAGGTGTGTTACCCTGCAGAGGCTGAAACTAATCCTTCGAGAAAACCCAGGTCCCCTTGATCAGGGCCCACCCCTCACCGGGCCCCATGCTGAGCACTCGGCACTCCATCCTCATGACCACCACCTGAGGTAGGTCATCTCATTACCCCCATTTTACAGAGGAGAGAGCAGGCTCGAGGGGGAAGCCACAGACTTGCCTAAGGTGTCCAAGCTCTAAGTGACAAGAAAGATGGGGCTCAAAGGTCTGTGTGACCTGAGCTCTTAGCTACCCCCATACCCCAAATTTGCCTTTAGGAAACACAGAAAGAGGAATGGGGGATGAAATCCTGACAGAGAACATTTTTAGAAATTTGGAGGAAACCCAAGCACCAAAGAGATTGTCAATCAAAGTGCCTAATGGGGCCCTAGCCCCAGTGGACACGCGGACTCTGCTCCTCTACAGACTGGTGGCCTTGCTCTTAATAAAGGCAGGCAGGCCCCTTCAGTGCAATTCTGCAGAGGTCCCAGAATTCAAGCCACTGTCTTCTTTCTCAGACTTTGCTTAAGAGAGTCTAGTGTTGAGTGGGCACGAGGAATGCCTGATTTGGGTCAAAATAAATATCCAGTCTCCACCCAAAGCTGATCCGCTGTCCCTCTTCTCGGAATAGCGCCTGGTGACTGCTGGTGCCAAGCACGTGAGGAGCAGCTCCCCAGCGGGCTGACTCCATCCCAGCCTACACTGAGCTCCCATGATGGCTGAGCCAGAGCGCCAGTTCAGACAGAAGAACCATCTCCTGGAGGGGCCTTGGCTACAGCTGCAGGGCGTGTTTACTCTGAACCGGAAGAGGACTCTGGAGGAAGAGGTAGATTGCCACAACAGGAAGAGAACTTCACCCCAAGTCACTGACTTGAGATAAGGGAGCTCCTGGATATTGACAGCCCCACCCCGGGAGGGAGACATTATCCCTTTAGACAGCACGGCGTGGGCGTGGGGAAGTGCCAGCCTGAGACAGTGTGTTGGCACATTCCTACTCCTGCTGGGGCCTAGCAGCTCGTCCACCTGACATTTTCACGGTGTCTATAAAGTGCTGTTAGTAAAACCACAGGAGTGGAGAAAAGGGGGACAACAGCCCTGGAGAGAGGGGGCTGTGCTGTGGGCAGAGGGAGTGGAGGACAGAGGGCCCCAGCTCTCCGGGCCCTGGAGGTGCTGGCTGCATCCAGCCACCTTCAGGAGGCACCCAGTGCTCTCTTGGCCCCTCTCCCCACCCTCGGAAGCTGGCCAGGAACCTCTCCTCCCTCATTCTCTTCTGTCCTGGGCCTCCCCACTTCCTCCGCTGGTGGCCAGGTCCTCTGGCCAGTACTGGTCCTCCATATACTGCTCCGTGTCCGTGCTGCTGTCGGGCTCCCTGTCCTCCGGGTGGGTGCGGAGGCGGCTGGCCTCCTGCTGCTCCCACTGCACCTGCACCAGCTGGTAGAGCTCCATGGCCGTCACGGCATCTTCCACCGACGAGTGCCCGTGCTGGCCCACCTGCGGACGAGAGCCCACATCACTGCCCGAGGTCCTGGTGAGGGGCCCGTCACTGCCGGCTCTGGGTGCAGGCCCAAGAATGTGCACTCTCAGAACAGGGTGTAGAGCTCGCTACATGGGAAGGCATGGCTTCTATCAGTCAGCAAAGCACTGGAATCTCAGCTGGACCAAGCCATCTAGCTTCTCCAAGCCTGTCTTCTCAAACAGGAAACATGGTAAAAATCTCTGCCTTCAAAGGCTTGATGAGCAGAAGGAACAGTGAATGTGAAGTCCAGTGGGAGCAAGAGAGGCTTCCGCCGGACCCAAGGCTCCAGCTCTGCCTGCAGGAGACGGAGGTTTACATGCAATGCAGACAGAGCCTGCGATTGGGGTGGGGGGCACAGACGGGGAAGAGATCGGCCTGGAAGAATGTGGCTGGCTCTCACAATGCACTGGGAGGAAGGATGGAGAAAACATCCAGAGCTGCTTGTAGATGCGGGCGACCTGCGCTTTATCAAGGACCCCAGGACCTGGGCAGGGGAAGGAAGATGAGGAGGAGGCTGGAGGCAGCCTCACAGCCCTGTCCATGGCCTAAGCAGGCCTTCTTGCTCCCCCCAACTGCTCCTGCACCACGCACCTGGATCTTCTTGTGCAACAGCTGCAGGGCCAGGTCCTTAAGAGAGACCCGTGTCCGGGTGTGGAGGCCGGGCTGGTTGAGGAGGTTGGGGACGTAAGTAGTATCCCGGGTCTGGCTCCGAGGGTGAACATACTTGAGGGCCTGGAAGTCATTGTGCAGCGCGTGCCCCACCACCACCTTGCCCTTCAGGAGCTTGAGGATCTGTGGGAGAGAGAAGAGTCAGGACGGCCCCCGTCTCAGGCTGGCAGGAGACACATCCTGAGGCCCTAACCAATGGGTGCACGGACCCCTCCGGAGGGAGGCAGCCCGGAGAGGGAAGACCAGGAGCTCACAGTGCACCAAGCGGCCCTCCCCAAGTCTGAATGCAGGCCCTTCTCCTTACTACATACTGCGACCAGGGGCACACTTAAGGCTGTGCCCTGTAAAGTGGGGACGCTGCTGAGAGCATTCCGTGGGGTGCTTATGAGCATCAAAGGAGATCACAGATAGGCCAGGTCTTCTAGTTACTCAAAAAAAGCAGCTCTTTCCTGCTGGCACACCTTCTTCTCTCGGCCTGGAAGACTGACCCAGCCCCCCTGCCCCACCCAACTCTCCCTGCCCCACCCAACTCTCCCTGCCCCACTCAACTCTCCCCACTCCTCCCAGGGCTGGTGGTGGCATGAGCTGACCATCTCACGGTCATGGCTCCCCAGGACTCCCCATCAACATCAGGACCCGCTGTTCTCTCCTTCAAGTATACATTTAGCTCTGGCCTGGTCTCTCCACTGCCCCCCCCCCCCATGTAAGCTCACTGGAAAC